TGAAGTTCTGCCAGCTCTCTTCCTGGGAAGGATGGGAAAGCCAGCACCTGTGGGAAAAGACATTTACTGGCCACATGCTGGCAGGAAGCAGGGTCAGGGCAGGGGGAGCCTTCCAACTGGCAAAGCGGCTGCCCAGGGAAGGGGACAGCTTGGGTCCTCCTTCTACACCCTGAGGTTTGCTGAAACTCGTTTTTTCTTCTCCTTCAACATCCCCTCTTATCTGGCCCCTGCCCTCCATTCCCCCTGCTGCCTTGCCTCTCTCTAGGCCACTGCCTCTCCCACTGCAGGTCACCTCCCCCAGCTTCCTCTGAGCTTTGATCCTGTGGGTGGCTCCTTGTGGCCCTCAGATGCATGCTTCACGTGTTCTCGCTCTCACTCATGCTCATTTTTATGTGGCTGCAAAGTGCTGGATGCTCTTACAGCGTTGAGTGTACAACAGGGTGAACAGAACATGCTCCTTCCCTGCCCTCATGGGACAGACGGCCCGTGGGGCACTGATCACCTACAAATAAATGCACAATTACAAATGACCAAAGGCACTCCAAGAAGAACAAGCACATTGAGGAGGCCTTGTATGTGGGTTGTGTAATTTGGACTTCACGTAAAGAAAATAACTTGAGGATATTTGGTGCACAGGGGTCAGAATTTAGCAGAGTCCAAACTCCAAAGCCTCGTATACAAGGTTGGCCACTGTTACGGGTTGAACTGTGTCTCCCACCACAAGGTATGTTGGAGTCCTAACCCCCAGGACCTTGGAATAGGACCTTATTTGGAAACAGAATCTTTATAGAGATAAATGAAGTCAGTAGGGTGAGTCGTAATCCAATATGACTACTGTCCTTATAAAAAAAAAAGGGGGGGGATTAGGACAGAAAGACACCCAGAAGCACACTGTGTGGACATGAAGAGGTGGGGGTGGGGCTTTGGGGTGAAGCTTTTGCACACAAGCCAAGAAACACAAGGACTGCCAGCAACCCCCAACAGGAGAGAGTCTCCCCTCACTGCCCTCGGCAGGAACCAACCCAGCAACGCTTTGGTTGGGCCCGTAGCTTCCAGAACTGTGAGAGAGGAAGTTTCTGTCGTTTACCCATGCGGTCTGTGGCACGCTGCGAGGGCAGCCTGAGCTGACTAGTATGGCCACCACGCGCCTCTGCGCAGCTTGGCCTCGGCCCCTCCCCGGTGCCTTCCCACCTAACCGTTCTGGAACGGATCTGCTTGTTTCCTCTTCTGAGCTTTGCACCTGCCGTTCCCCGGTCAGGGACGGCTCTGCACACCCTGCTCCCAGAGACCCTCCACGCCCCTCCCTGCCCCTCTCAGGGCTCAGATGCTGTTCCACCTCAGGCCCCGGAAGAAACTCTGTCCTCAAAGCCTGGGACTCTGGATGGCTCTCCCACATTTTCAGACCCAAATCATACTACCCTGCAGGGGTTCTCAGACCGGAGTAGATAAATCCACGGATGCCATCCTCTCTAAAAATCCTCCCAGCCCCTGCAATATTCCCTTAACCTCCTTTCATTGCACGTCAACTCAGGAAACCGAGGTCTTGTTAGAAAATACGACAAAGAGACAACTTTGATTCCGTAACTGCTTGAAAAACTAGACTATCATCAAACTGGAAATACAAAACTAATAAATTCTCAGAGAAGAGTGCACGGCTGGGCCCTGGGAGCGAACTAAGACTCCTGTGCACCCTGGAACTCCTACACCGGGGAATCACCCCTGGGCTTGAAAGACATGTCTGTACCTGGGATTATTCTCGGTTAGGGTGGCGCCTGGAATCGCCACCCTCCCTTTTCTCAAACTCCCAAGCAAGCATGTGAGGGGGCATTTGCACACCCCTTGAGTCGTCGGAGGCCCCAGGGGACAGAGCCAGCCTCCCCGCCTTGGCATGCACATGCAGGGCTGGGGAGATGTGGGTGCAGGGCCAGCCTTCTGGGAGCTCTGAGTCCTGAGCCAGACTGTGGCCACGTTCCACAGCTGGCCCGGCTCACTTCGCAGCACAGTGATGTGGGGTCGGAGCCTTCATTTCTGCGATGCTGTGGGTTCTCTTCTTAGATCCCTAAGACCACAATACGAGGAAGGCAGGGCTGGCTGTGACCTCCATTTTACAGATGAGGAAGCTGAGGCCCAGAGAGGTAGAAACTGTGGAGTGCTCTGATCATTTGCGGGGGAGAGGCACCAAATATGGGGTGTCTCAGTTGGGTGGGGGCCGGCGGCGCAGGCAGTGAAAGAATTCACCCAAGGTGGAACCAAAGAGTTTATTGAATACATTGCAGGGGAGAGACTGTGTGCCAGGAGGTGGTGGTGAGGGGCCACAGTTACAGGGCAGAGTGAGGGAATATGGGGACACGGGGACACATGGAATCTTCCCTTTTTGGGTAATCTTAGGAGCTATGTCTGGTTGTAACTGGCCTGTGAGGGTCTGAGGCTGCTTCGAGGTGGCTCACTTAATGGGCCTGTTTGCATTCAGTGTGGAGGGTCACTGTGGGCCCTTCTGCCTTGATCCAGTTTCCACTGTCCAAGCCTCAAAGGGGCCTCTACAGTCACTCCTTGTACAAGGCCACCTGACTTAACTGGAATCCTGAGTGTGCTGGCTGCCTTTTCCCTTGCTTCCCACCAGACTGCATGTCCCTCTGAGCTTTACGCGAATACGCTGACTGTGAATATGGCATATTTTCATTGCCCCAGTGCACCACCTTTGTTATTTAAAAAATAAAACCAAAAGAAAGCCCAATCAAACTAGTCCCTAGTCCCTGAAGTCTGGAGAGTGGACCAGACGTGGTCATGGCCACACGGACACTGCAGGCGTACCCCCCCCGGGGAACTAGAGAGCCCCCGACTCCACATCTTCCCAGGAAGGCATGTTTGGGCCGTGGATCTATGTGAACTGGGTCTCCCCCGTGGTGTCAGGGGTGGATGTTCTATAACCAGACTGAAAAGTAGCCAAAAAAGCCAACAGTGATCTGGGTGCCTGGTGTTCTCTGCCTTCCTGGGAGTTTTCTCCAGCCGGGTATCTGACAACGAAAGGGATGCAGACGAGAGAGCAGGGGGCTAGCCCCACGCCAGCTCAGGTCTCCATCAGCAGCTCCCCGGCCCCTGGAGCACGTGGCCACCACCGTACCTGCAGTTGGGACCCAGGTTACCCGAGGTCACCCCAGGTCACCTGTGCCTCAGGGCAGTGCCTGGGCTGAGAGCTCACGATGTGGCCCACAGCCTCAGGGACTCTCCCCAGCTGGCTTCCTCCCTCTGTACTGCAAACTCTTCTGTTTCCTCTTTGGCTTAATATTATTTCCCCCAAGTCTCTGGTCATTTCTGTCAGTCTGGGGAGCAGGTGAAGCAGGCTGCCCTTGACCAGACAGCAGGGCTTTCGTGGCCAACCACAAGGCCCACCCACTCCGTTATACCTCAGTTCCACTCGCCATGCTCCTGAAGTCCTCATCACCTCCTGTTGCATGGCTGCAGGGCTGCCTCCTCCTAGTTGGCTTCCCGGCCTGCAGTCTCAGTGGGTCATCTTCCTGCAAGCCTGGGCCTAGAACCACGAGCCCTCTGGCGCCCTCCCCATCTTGGGCCTCCGTCTCCTAGACCACCCTGTCCTGGGACTTGCTGGCTTTTCGCACTACCAGGTGGCACGGTGGTGCTTAGTTAGGTGCCGGGTGCCTTGCTATTGTGCACCCCTCCAAGGCTGAGTTGAAGTCTTCTGCTTCCTGTGGCTCTAGAACCCGGTGCAGAGCTGGCGTTTGGGAATGGTTGTAGAGTCTACCTCCCGCGGATTGAGCTCTTCTGCCAACATGCTGCTGCCTTGCTTAGGGTGTGGGTTCATGACCAGTGCTGGGCAGAACTGTGAGGAAGGGACCTCAGCCCCAGGCTTCGTTGTCTCCTGCTCGGTGCCCCAACCCAAGGTCCTGGGGGTCCTCCTGCCATGCAGTCATCTTTAACACTCGCCCCATTACTACTGTGGATTGACCGTGCACCTCGTGCCCTTCACTGTGAGACCCTGACTGCTGTCACCCCAACATCTACTCTCAAGGAACAATCCGGAGTCCAGTCATATTCAAGTTTGAAGCTCAGTGACAGCTTGATGTGCCACCAATGGTTAGGAGCAGAGGCCAAGGCACAGAAATTGTCCTGGTGGAATGTGAGGCCTGGGGACCAAGGGGGAGTCACTCAGGGGAGGCGGTGGCCTTCCTGGTCCTGCAAAGTCCTCAGGGAATGGGACACCCTGTCTTTCCAGGTGAAGAACACCTGTGTGGGTGGGATTCAAGGCAAGGCCTGATTGGCTAAGGGCTCCATGGTGGCGTTAATTGATTGGATGACTGAAAAGTCCCTCCTCTGCAGGGGCCTGTGTCAGGCACCCCTCCCAGAAGCCATCCCTGAGATGACCCTTCCTGGGGCCCAGGAGGACTGGGGGCTGGAAGCCTGTCAGTGCTCAGGAAATATGCCACCAGCGTCTCTAGCTGATGGGGGCCCTTATACCTCACCAGGAGGCAGGGCTGCCGAGCAGTTCCATCACCACAAGACCTACTACCACAAAGAGGCCACATCATAGCATGGCCTTTCCACGGTCCCTCAAGGTGATGGCAGAGTCAGGGATGAGCTCTGGAACCAGAGTCAGGGGAATGGGCTCTCAGTCTCCAAAGGACCCGCATTCACTCCTTGCTTGAACAGCCACCTCCCCTCTCTAGGCCTCAGCGTCCTTGCCTGGAAGATGAAGCGCAGGGCTAATGGCTCGGCTAAGACCCCTGTACACTCATGCTCCAGTCATTTTACGCCATCCCCTTAGGTGAAGAGAAGAGAGTGAATGTGAGGACCGAGGAGGGTGTGTGGTCAGAAGTCAATGGCAAGAAACCCAAATGTATGGAAATTCTCAGGACTTCTTTAAATGATCTATTTCTTAGTGTCCCCACTGGGGCCAGCTGACATCAGTGACAGACGTTGTGAGCAGATAAATGCATCAGTGGTTTTTATTGGTGTTAACGCAGTAGCTGGATTGTGCCTGGACTTTAACAGGGCGTGAGGGTGAGGAGAACGTCTTCTCTCACAGTGCTTTCACTGCAGAAGTTGTGCCTGCCGACAGAAATGAAAGCTTTGTAAGTGTCGGGCAGCTGTACATGGAGTTCTGAGTTGTTAGGAAATGATAGGAGCTGATTTACGACTCACAAGGAATGAGGGAAACACTTCGGTTGTAGCTTCAACCGGTTACTGGAGAACTTGGGTTTCCAGTGAGACAGGTGTCTGCTGTCTGGGACAAGGTCCCCTGTCAGCTGGCTGCTCAGAGTGGCCCTGGTCTCTGAGTCCTCAGTCCGACAGGACTGTGGGGCATTGACGCGGCAGCTGGACCTCTCACTGGCCTCTTTTTCCACAAGTAAGCATGGGACCTCCTTGCACATAGCAGGTTGGTTTCCAGATGGACTCACTCTTGACTGAGCCACTCTGGAGACTGGATTCAATCTTCTAATAGCTATAGTAAATTGAGCTTTTACTACAGGCAATGACACTAACTGATTCACTCGTGCAGACTTCATCTTCACAACACATGTGTGAGGAGGTATTACTATGAGTCCCATGTTATGGGAGAGGAAACTGAGGCACAGAGAGCTCTCAGTAAGTGAAAGAACCAAGATGCAAATACAGGTCTGTCTGATGCCACAGTCCACATTGTCCATGGCAGAGTCGCACCTCAAACCTCCCTTGACCTTGCCTTCTGCACTTGAAGTCAGTCAGTGGATTTTTCCCCTTGGGCTCCCCACTCCCTCAATTCCAGGGGTGACATGGGCTGGTTACTTGAGTCTCTGAGCATTAGGATCTTCATTTATAGAAGAGGGCACAGTTCTCCCCCATGATTGCTGAGAATCCCATGTTAATAATGCAACATCTGATGACAATAAATGTGAAAAAGCTTTATAATTGATAAAAAACAAATGTAGATCTAAGTGGCTATCATTATTGTTACTCTAAGGACAAAGAGCTTCCTGGACCTCACTACTTCGGAGCTCTGAGACTTTGCCTGGTTTTATCTGTCATCTTCACTATGGTCTCTTTTGTGTTTCACTTGTCTTGCTGCCCTCGCTCTATCTGCAATCATATTTCCAGTTCTCTGCACCTTGAACCCTGCCATCTGTGGTCTGGGATCCCCCTGCCTCTCATTCAAGCCCATCACCCATGCTGGTTTTGATCTTCCTAACTTTTTAAAAAGCTGATGTCCAACATCTAGCTTCTCTTAAGATAGATTTCTTCTGGAGTCGTCAGCCAGGGGAAGAAGGGACACTCAGGCCACCATTTGACACTTCAAATGGCAGCTATTGGGCTCAGGGCCTCAGGGGTGGCCTTGAAGACAATCTGTGCCATTTCTAGAAAGTACAGAAAGTCACAGCCTTTCCTCAGGAAACCTGGAAGGCACAATGTTCTGGCTGGTTTGGTCTTGTGTTTGCTTTCCTTCTTCAACTCTACCTATGACCGAGCCATCTCCTGGGAACACTTCGTGTTTTTAAGGCTCCAGCAATACCATCTTCTTCTGACTCCTTTTTAACCGCACAGTACTAGGATTCAGGCCACAGGTCCATTTCCTGATGGGGCCCTGGGAACTGGCTTTAGAGGCTCACTGTCCTTCAATGGAGGTGGGCAAGTAAGTGCTGGCTGCAGCTGTAGGCTGTGGAAGGCTCTCTCCACTGGCTTCCTCAGTGCTGTGCTCTCAGTGACAGATCTGTCTTATTCTGTTGACCACCTGGCTGGGCCAGCCTCTCACAGGGATATGGAGGGCCTCAGAGGGGTCATCCAACCTGAGATACAGCTGTGAATTCTGCCAGCCCGCCCTCCCCACCTGGAGGAGCCATATTCCCTGAGGCCCGAGTTTAGCAACCTCACTTAACCTCCCAAGCCTCGAGTCCATCAGTGACCAAGATTCCAGGATCCCTTTCCACAAAGCCACCCTCGGAGGGTTCTGCTGACCAGAATTAGGGTCCCAGCCTTGGCTCTGCCCCACTCAGGTCACTAACCCCACATCCCTCCGGCTGCCTGCAGCAAGTGACACTGAAAGTCAGGATAAAGATCCTGCAAGTATTGTTAGCCCAGCTCTCTCTTGTCCTATGTCAGCTTTTATATCTTTTGCTAAAACTACTTTTTTTAATTATTATTATCCTGAAAATGTCAATGATCTCCCCCTCTTTATAATGTAGCTGCGTTCTAGCCCATACCTATACCTCAGAAGTTACTTCTTTCTTCTCTTTCTCATTTTTCCTACTTAGTTTTTCTTGAAGGCGGTGTCATACATCTGTGTCCTTCTCAGATAGGGCTGAGAACGCCCAACAGAATGCTTTGCCTTGTCTGTCAATTATTTGTTTGCCTACAAAGAAAGCGCCCCAGGTGGGTCGATTGTCCTGGCTTTTCTGGCTGAACCATGACTGACTTTCTGGGGTGAGTTTCCATTATAACATCCTGAAGCACAAGCCCACAAAGATATACATACACTGTGTTCTCCTCTCCCTTTTGGATGGTGATCTTGGCTGCACCCACTTTGGGGAAGGTTGGGTTTACCACATTGTTGTTCCAAAGAAACTTGACTTTCTCAATTGTTCCAACATCAAGCTCTGCATCAAACTCATTGGAATGGGTAGAGCCTGGTCTGAGAATCCCCCTTGAAATAAAGAAATAGAAGCGTTCCAGGCACAGAAACAAGTTCTAATGACCAGATAAGGCTACGCCATGCTTTTCTACTTGAGATTAAGGAAGTTATTTTTTTCTAAATTAATTCTCAAATAAAGGATGGAGAAGCCAGCAGCCTCACACTATTGCTTGAATATTGTTTTCTCAAACTCAAGTTAATTTCTAATCAGAACGTTCTTATAAAAAACTATATAGTTCCTTCATATTTTTTTCTGGAAGAATTATTTGTACAGTAATAAGTTATTCACTTAGTTTAACACAGCATGCATGTGTTACTATCCTAATCAGGAGATATTACATTTGGGGGTGATATTAGATATATAGTTTTTAAATCTATTTTTAGAAACAGATCTATTGAAAGAGAAAAAAACTAATGCCTGCTGAAAATTATCAACAGAAGTCTCAAAGTGACTTTAATACATACAGCAAATAATTTAAAATTAATTGATAAAGAGAGGATAAGCATTTCAGTGTGCAGATTTGAAGGCTGTGTATATCATCAAGTGAGATGTGGTGCTAAAAAAAGGAAATTTACCTGAAGATATCGAATTGATGAGTGTTTCCCTTATTTCCAAACAAAGCAATTTTGATCTGACCAGTGGCCATTTTTCCAGACAGTGTTATAGAAGCTCCATATCTCCAGCCTGTACAGGGGATAACAAAGAATTCAATTTATTCATGCACAAAATAGTTGACTCAAATTTCAGAATCCTGTCATCCATTACACCGGGGCATCAAAGTATAAGAAATCCTAGTAGGGGCACCTGGGTGGCTTAGTCGGTTAAGCGTCCGACTTTCGCTTAGGCCATGGTCTCGCGGTTCGTGGGTTCGAGCCCCGCGTCGGGCTCTGTGCTGACTGCCAGCTCAGAGCCTGGAGCCTGTTTCAGAGTCTGTGTCTCCCTCTCTCTCTGACCCTCCCCTGTTCATGCTGTCTCTCTCTATCCTAGAAATAAAATAAAAATATTAAAAAAAAAAAAGACATCCTAGTAATCTATAACTCAAATCAGGCTATCAGGAGAGGTGCGTACCTTGCAGTATCCTGTCCAGATCTACACTGCCCAGTGAAGGGGCCATTACCCATAGGTGGCTGCTTAAAGTCAAATCCACACTAAAGAAGATCAAAAACAAATTCCTCAGTCTTACTAGCTACATTTTAAGGGCTAAATTGACACATGTGGCTACTGGCTACCATATTGGACAACAGAGAGCATTTCCATCATTGCAGAAAGTTGTGTTGTATAACTCTGCTTTAGAGGCACCATATCGTGAGATAAGGTGAAAAGAGAGGAGACAAAGGCTTGTTCCCATGGTAGGAAAAGTAGCTCAAGAATGTAGTCCTGCTAGAACCTCAAGAGTAGGGTCTGTGCCGTTATCTGTGCGTCCCCAGCACCCCAGGCAGTGTCTATCACAGAGGGGGGCTCAGTTGTTACCCAGACCTACTCCTGTAGTGCTGTCTCAGTGCCCATGAGGACAACCTGCACACCTATAACCACACACTCACACATGTACATGAACACACACACACACGTACATATCCATATCTATATCCGCATGCACACACATGTACACATGCATGTACTGACACACACACATCATTCGCCTAGCTCCCATTTGTCCCTCACAGCCTCAGAGACACTGTCCCTCCCTTCCTCTGGGCAATGCCAGGCCTCTGTCCCATGCTACCACTGCAGCAGCCCCCCACTCCCAGCACACTGGAGCTGCATGCTCGGTTTCCTACAGGGTTATACATTTCACGCGTAGAGTGTTTTACTCATCCCTGCATCCCTAGCCTCTAGCACCGTCTGTGGTTCATAAATAAGTGTTGGTTGAGGAATGAATATGTGACTTTAGAATGTTTAATTTGTTGTTTTAAAATATGGGCCAGCACGTCATGCATCCCAACAGTGGAAAGATTGATTAACCGTTGTCTTATTTAAAAAATATATTATAAGGGTGCCTGGCTGGCTCAGTCAGTCTAGCGTTTAACTACAGCTCAGGTCATGTTCTCAGGGCTCGCGGGTTCGAACACTGTGTTGGGGTCTGTGCTGACAGCTCAGAGCCTGGAGCTGCTTCGGATTCTGTGTCTCCCTCTCTCTCTGCTCCTCCCCCACTCATGCTCTGTTTCTCTCTCAAAAATAAACATTAAAACAGTTTTTAATAATAAAAAAATAAATGCATATAGTGATGAAAGTGTTCTATATCTTGATTGTGGAGATGGTTTCATGACTATTCATCTATCAAAACTCAGAACTATACACTACAAATGGTGGATTTTGCTATATATAAATTGTACCTCAATAAACCTGACTTATAAAACTAGATAAGACATATATTGTATTTATGCCTTTATATAAACACAGTGTCCTTTTTACAGTGCAACTTCTTAGGGAATAATCACGGGGAAGGTTGGCACAAAGTGACCCAAATATGCCCTATCTCTACCCTATGTCCTAGATGAGTCAGCAGATTTTTGAGAGAAATTACCCCTTCCTAATTCCTACCCACTGTCCACTAGAGAGGGACCCCAGCATGGGGTATCAGGGACACAGGGACAGAGAAGAAGTGGGGAGATAGGAACTGGACTTCTTAAGGGGTCCAGCCCAGCAAAGAGCTGGTACCAAATAAATGTTTGATAAATGAATAGAAGAACGGGTGTGCATGACACAGTCTTAAAAAAGAAAAGAGCAATGAAATGTGGAGTGGTAAGAATTGCCATAGAGATGTGCAAGTCACTATTTCTCATTAATTATGGTCCCACTCATTTCATGGCATAGGCACAGAATGGAAGAAATGCAGACTGTTTGTAAATCCTCAGCTGAGTCTTAAATGGGATAGTTTGGGCAGATGTGTCCCTCCGCTAAGTTGGTCAGGGTGTGCTCACAAATATTCCAGGTGAGAGATAAGTCCTTCTTGTATAATGGAACCTAAACTTTCTTGACAAGGGTGAGAAGGGCCAAATTACAACTTACGAGCAAAACTGCTGGCGTCTCCTGTGTTCAGGAAGAATTTCTGTGGCTCACTGCTTATCCTGCCAGCGAATTTATCAGCATAGTGGCCCATCTGTGGGCAGCCTTCAGCCGGGCAGGGGAAGCACTTGTTCTAAGGATAAGAGAGAGATCAAGTTGTCAGGTCTGGATTTGCCTTTTTATGACCCACACATCTAGAGGGGCAATTCTCCTACAGTCTGAGTTTCCTCACTTGTAGCAGGAAGAACACTGGGGTAGATGATTCCAAATTTCCCTCATTGAGTCTAGGACTCACGCTCATCAAGATAGAAAATACTGATGCCTGGGCCCCAGGTGAGGTCAATTACCCCTTCCATCACGTGATGTGCTGGTACATGGTTAACAGCCAAACTCTGGGACAAAAGGCCCTGGCTGTAGCACTTGCCACTATCTGTGGTATAAATGCTCTGTCTGTGGTCAATTTCAGAGACCCAACCCCCCAGCATGGCATCTAGAACTCGAGCATCTGCTTTTTCTTCTCTCTGGCACGTGAATTCTTCTCTCCTTCATTCTTCTGACCCTGCTCTGTCTTGTTCTTCCTCCTAAATGCTATGCATGTCCAAGCCAGATTCAAACAACACCTTCTGCGGAAAGGTTTTCCAGATCATTGAAAGGACTGTTCTTCTGATCTTGCAGCGTCTTCCTCGTCCACATGACTCATCTAGAATTTTAGTCACCTCCTGCCTAATTTTTTCCCCTCTGCTTCACAAGATCATAAACTCTGAGGGCCCATGCAAAACAAGTAAGGGATAGTCAGAAACCGATTAAAAGGTGTTGCAAATCCCAAACCTAATGGACTACTATCCTACAGAGGGACTCAAGGGATAATAGCTTACAGACTCAAACTCCCTGTAGGAAGCGCAGGGGTAGGAAGCGAACCCGTCAGGGTTGAGGATGCTCTCCGAGTAATACTTGTAACTTCTCAGGTGATTGCAAGCCACAAAATCCCGAGTCCCTAGGGAAACAAACGAAGGAAGTCTGCACAGGTGGCCTGGGGAGTTGACAGCTTCTCTCTCTCTAAGTGGAGAGGTTCCAAAGTGGGGCCGTATTTTCAGAAATGTAAGGTCAAGTCAATTTGAGGTAAATCCAAAATAAATGACAGTGAATACAGAGAGGCTGCTTTCTGTGAGTGAGGCAGTGTTCTCAGAACTTTACATGCATTGTCCCTATGAATAATGCCTTTCTAGGCGGAGGTACTAGGCCATTCCTAAGTACAGAATGATATACAGACTACAGCCTCAGATGTACGGATTACAGCCAGTTAAGTGGCAGAACTGGAAATTCAACCCAAGCCCGTCTGGTGGTTGAGCCTGTGCTGCTAACCATTGTGCCTTCCTGTGTCCCAGGCACTAGGCTGGAGGTCCTTGAAGACACGGCCAGATGCGAGGTGACCTCTTAGACATGATGAAACCAGAGCAGGGACATTTTCACGTTGTGTTTAGGCAAATAAAAAGGAGGGTCAAGTAGCTTGAGTTAGCTCTTATTTCTCTTTCTTGATAACCTTCCTTGGCCCCCACAGCTCCTGCCAGGTGACAGAAGTCACAGTGTACTTTCTAGACATGACCCAAACTCGTTTGAGCATTATTGAGAGGGAGTTTAGGTAACCCTATCTATGTAAACTCTCAAAAGAGACAAACACACATATCTGCATTCTTTTTCTTATTAATTTTTTTTAATGTTTTATTTATTTCTGAGAGAGAGAGTGTGAGTAGGGGAAGGTCAGAGAGAGAGGGGAGACACAGAATCCGAAGCAGGCTCCAGGCTCTGAGCTAGACGCCAGCACAGCCCAACGCGGGGCTCGAACAAACAAACGGTGAGATCATGACCTGAGCCAAAGTCAGACACTTAACTGACTGAGCCAGCCAGGCACCCCCATACATCTGCATTCTTAATATTTGCCTCAGTGGCATCCATACTTGCCATTTTGATCAAATTCAATAAGAATCTTTACTCATTAGGGGCACCTGGGTGGCTCAGTTGGTTAAGCATCTGACTTTGGCTCAGGTCATGATCTCACAGTTCATGGGTTCAAGCCCTGTGCCAGGTTTTGTACTGACAGCTCAGAACCTGGAGCCTGCTTTGGATTCTATGTCTCCCTCTCTCTCTGCCCCTTCCCTGATTGTACTCTGTCTGTCTGTCTGTCTCTCTCTCTCTCAAAAAATGAATAAACGTTTAAAAAATGTTTTAAAAAAAGGAATCTTTACTCATTATATTTGGTAAGACCACTAAAGGTTTAAACCTGTGTGGTGCCAAGTGATGAGCTGGGCTGAAAACTTCACTTCTTCACTACATTGTCCTTTTGACCTCATTAGATCCAAAATCTGTATCTAACAGATGACCTTTAACCTCGGTGTGCTTCACCAATGGTGAAGAATAACCTCAAATAGCACACTCTCTGCTTAGCCTTTCCTACCAATGATTGTTTCTCAGCCTGACCCAAAATACAGGGTGATGACTTTCATTGGCTCTGCCGTGGAAATGATCGGGGAGCATTGTCATTTTGGCTACAGTATTGAGCAATACTGAACAAGAACTTGAACCGTATCACTGACTTCCAAGGAGGGATTGGCAGAAAAATTCTCTTAGAGCCAGGATGTTTACCTTCATGGTATTTCTTATCTCTGCTAGGTAGCTACCAATTGATTGCTGGAGTTATGGCTTTGAGTGATTTTTCATTCTTTGTAGCTTGCACAGTTCAGGATACCCCCAACAGTGTTTTAAGGATGTACAAAACCAGTAGAGCAGAGATATGACAAATAATATGTAGCCACATTTTTTCAGAAATAAGGTCTAGGAGAGGGAATTGTTTTAAAGAACAGTGGTGTTTTCATTTTTGAGATTTGCTCTGGGGAAGGTACTGCTCACCCCAGTGAAGTGATGCCTCACTCCACTCTAACTTTACCTTCCCAAATGCCATCGAGGTCCACGATCTGTGACAAAGCATTCTTCTTGCATCCTGGCATTTCCTCTCCTCCGTTGGGGAAGAAGTCAAGGTGACCCATCAATTGTTTTGTTCCAAAGCCTGAAATGTTTGGAATAGCAATGAGCTTTTCATAATGCGGGGCTCTCTTGGTTAAAACACAATGGCACATGCTTGCAGCTAAAGCATCATTGGGCTTACCCAGGAATGGGATCAGGGGTGCTGCATCTGTGTGAATCACATCAACAAAGTCAGCATCGGAGGGATCGAGTCGAACCTCTTCAGGAGTACCCTGGAAGCTTGCTTCTACAGGATCCAACCCTAAAAGAGATGATCAGTGCTGCAGAATAGTAGGCCTGGCTGTAGGTGCCAGCAGGACCAAAGTGTACAGTTGCTCAGGCTGTGCATTGCTCAACTCAAGGGATGCCATACTTCGAAGTCATGCAGTGCTATGGCCCTGCGTATTGAATATGGGGACACAGAGCTTCAATGTTGCTCATTAGAGAAGGGCTCCGGTGGCATGGATAAAGAAGGGTCAATGAGCTAAGAGATTTAAATTTGTCTGACCAAGGATTTTTTCCCACATTATTTTCTCCTGTTTACTTGGCAGATTCTTCTTTAACACCCTTTTTCCTCTTCTCAAGTTTGAATAAAAGAAGGGATAAAATAATATGATATCATATTTATGAACACAGATTCTGGAACTAGGCAGCCTGACTCTAAATCCCTACTCAGCTATTTCTTGGGCAAGTTACATGACCTTGGGCGAGTCGCCCAACCTATTTTTGTGCCTCAGCTCCCCCATTTATAAAATCCAGGTAATGATGTGGTTATAATAAGATTAAATGATATAGTATATATAGCTTTTAGCACACTGACTGGCATACCATCATGAGTGTATCTGTAAAATATTATTATTATTTCCTCTTGACTATAATTCCTTCTTGGCAGGGCTTCTGAATTTGTCAATAGTCTTTGAAGGTTTGGCCAGAGCACCTGGCCAGAAAGGGCATAGGCATAGTTGTCTGCTGAAAATGAAAGGGAGAGAGCTCTTATACACCAGAGGCTTGCTGGAGCCACGTGGCAGTAGAACTGAGTTAGAATCTTGGCTCTTCCAAGATTGAGGGCAAGTTATCCAGTTTCCTGAGTCTGTTTCTTCAGTTCTGGGGATTCAGTGAGAAATGTAAGGCACTTTGCATAGAATTTGGGCTAAGGAGACACTTCATCTATGCTTACTCTGATAATAATAATAGCATTACATGATTATGATTATGTTATACAGCATATGTTGTTGTTTTTGCTACAAATTGAAGGCTTTGATTGGCTTAAAAGAGTGATCTGTGCCACTGGTGCCTGGGTTTCTCCTACCAAGAGAGGCTCTGGAACTGTGATTAGTGTGCTCCACTCTGCCCTTGATTTCAAAGAGAAGAGGGAAAGGAATTGCAGCGTGCACTCTTAATTACGTTCGCACACGCTCATGCTAGCCTTCTTCTCCATTTTCCTGGTTGCCCAGTCCTGCCGAATGACCCTCACTGCTAGGAAACATGTGTCTAAGGAAGAGGGTTGGAGACAGACACAGAAGAAGCAAGGGAATGCAAAGGGAGGTGAACAAAAGCATTATCTCCTCTTCCAAAAAGATGGGCTTCCTGGGGGCTTCCTAAAATGTTCCCCGCAGACTCTCACTGGCTCTGCCACAGCTGAGGGACAGACCACTTTGGGCCACCTTCTAGCTGGTCTGCAGGCTTGCACCACGTTCTGGGGTTCCTGGGGACAAAATCTGGGGCGCTGCACCTTGGGCCTCACCTGTAATTCTGCCCAGCCCTTGAATTCTGCTCCCAGCCTCTCCTGCTGCGTGGGCTCCCAGGCTGTGGCCGATGAGGTGGACTTGGGAAGAAGAGTAGTTGTAGTTTGTCTGCAGAGAGAAGATTACATTTTCAGAACATTTTTGTACTGCGGTATTTTGATTTTTCACATGTGTGGTTTTTGTAACATGTAAACCTAATGTTGTTACCCCTCTGCCGAAAACCTTCTATGGCTCCCACTGCTCTCTGGATCAAGGCCAAATTCATTACCAGGGCTTCAGAACTTTCTTGACTCAACACCCATTTTTCTAGATTCCTCACTAGCCAAACCCTACGTAGGATTTTCAGTCCCTCGGATACATCATATTCTCATCTGTGGGCTTGGTGGGGAGTCTTCTCCCTGTTGCTGTTCACTCCCAACTGCTTGTCCAGCTCACATGACACAACCTAGCCATCCATGCTCAACTTAGATGTCTCTCCCTGGGAGACATCCTCAGTACTCCCCCAGCCCCCCAGCCTGGATTAAACTGCCCCCCCCCCCATGAGCTCCCATTAAGCTCTATAGTTCCCCCATTAGAACGCTGACCATACTCTACTGTCATTGCAAGCCTTCACCTCAAGTTCCTCCAGGGCCTGGGACCTCACCATGCACTTGACCTCTTAGCAGAGCTCCTGACTCTGTGCCCCCCAAATATTGGATGAACAAACAAATGATATACAGCTCTGAGTGTTTGCACCCGTTGGTCTCAGAGACATTCACCCATCTGTACTCATTTACTGGTCTTCAGTACCTCTAGAACAAACACCACAGGTTTTAATTTCTGTAGGGGTGCAGAAGGAGTTAGAACCAATCAGTTATTTTGTAGCCCCTTTCACTGTAAGACAGAAAGAGCTCGGGCCTTTATCTGGGATAGAATAGAATCATGGAGAGTTAGTGACTTCACCGAAAGAATTCAAGACCCAAAGAATTAGCCAGAATGAAAGACCAGGGTGGGAAGAAACAGCTGAGTTGATGGTGGCCAACAGAATTCCCTGACATCAACAGGGCCATGGAGTTGGTACGTGCCGGGTGCACGTGCTGTCCCTTGGTTCCATTTGGTGCTCTCTCTCTGCCAATGCTGTGTTTGCCCCACACATAGACCACCCAGTGTAGTGGGGGCCCCTGGCGCTAGACAACTCTTGTATTCACCTGTGCTCTGATTTTGGGGGGCAAACTCTTTGACCTTTCTGGGCCTTAGTTTTCACATCGGCCAATGGAAGATGATAATAAAAGCCCCTGCCTCCTAAGTGTTAGCTGTTACTGATTTTTCTTCCACGGCTGTGTCCTTTTTCAGGCAGATTTCAGGATTTTAGAAGTAAGATTCTGAGACAAATACCAAGTCTTTCTGTTTCTTTCTAAAATCCATAACTCTCAGCTGCCTTGTTAGCTGACAGAGACCCGTGGGCGCTGCCTGCCTCCCCAGCCACCCGGCCGACAGACTCACCGAGAGCATGCTGAGCATCTGGGCCACCTGGGCGCCCACCACCCGCACGTTGTTGGCGGCCTGTGTGTACGTGGTTTGGGCACCTTTCTTCCAGTCCACGCAGATGCAGTTCACCTCCTCCACCGCGAACATGTTCTGGGGTTGGAGAGGTGCCAGGATGTTATCACAGGGGCACGTGAAACCATACCTAACCAGGGCTCCAAGATGGTGACTGTGGTCATTCTGTCTTCTCCTCGCTGGGGCACTCAGACCATCTGGGCTTGTTGTCAGTTAGGAGTTATCCCTCAGGGTGAAGGCTACGCGAAAGGCAAACTTATTCCCTCTCTAGCTTGCAGGTTCATTAAAAGCTGGCCATTCTGGTTTTCTTTGAGCAAATTCAGTAAAATTGATTAGGTGTGTGGGGAACATCTTGAAGAGAAAAGGTCTCAAGTGCCATCTCTGGTGGCCAATGTCTAAATGACCTTGTGGATTTCACCTCCACCCTTCCTCTTGGCGTCCTGACCTCACCGCCAATAACTCGGCTTGCCTTCACCCCTGTCTGCCGGGCATTTACTAAGTTTCTACAGTCAGGATAGCACAGTATTTCATGGAAGAAACACCCACCCCAGATATTTGAAAAAATGAAACTGCAACAGACTTAAAAAGACATTGAAGAATTCTGAACAGAAAATGTCTAGGATGTTGAAGAAACTGGTATATCCTTAGACATTCTTCCAGGTAGTACATAGGCCTGCTTGAGTCGAAAATGGTAATAAATTTAAAATCTGCTTTGAATTTTTCACATCTATGATACTTATATGTGTGATCACACACACAGAGGTACCAAGGGTTGTCTCTCAGGACTTTTATTTTTAAACAACCCTGAGGAATCTCTTACAATCCTGAGGAATTTGGAATATAAACTCTATCTTACAGTTTATCCAATGTAGGTAGTTATTCATGATGGGACAGAAGAGTTAAATGCCTGGTAAATCAAGGCCAAATGCAGAATGACTTTAATTTTCTAGGTTTGTAACTTCTGTTGACATGGTAGGTTGGAATTTTAATGTGCGTGGAGAACGGGCTCCTAGGGTAGTCAGAAGGATGGATGGAATCAGTGTATGTGTAAAAAGAAAGGGTGACGCTATATTACATATTTGTGTGCGTGTGTGCCTGTGCATGTGTGTGCGCACATGTGTGTGCACGCGTGTGTGTTCTTCTGTTGTCTGTCCTTCTAACCAATAGATGCTATGTTCCATATAGCTTTGACACTTTCTATTCTGCCGTTCAGTCTCCAGGTCCACCTTAATTCTCCGTTTCTCAAATAAATAGTTGTAGCAACCCATCATCTCAGGGACGTGGGAGAAACTTGAACAAAAAGAACATAATCCTTCATGTGCAGGAAAATGAAGTGCTCTCACTGAAAATGGAAGCAGACCTTTGGCCTTGATTTAGCCAGAAATAAGCTGGTGGAGGTGTTTGCCCACAGAGTCAATGCCACCTGCTGCAGGCTACAGATGTAGTCCAGAAACGTGGAAGTGAAGTCTTATTTTCATAAAGAGTACCTCACATAGGTAGGGATTTCCTGTCCCCAGAGTTATCTGCTGTCCTTGCTGGAAGGCGGTGGAGGCACTAGCCGGGGGGCAGGGCAGACCATGGGGCTGGGAGCCGGCCCTACCTTGCACATTTCCATAAGCCAGTTCTCTTCTCCCTTGTCGATGAAGCCATGGATGATGAACCGGGTCTTCCTGTTTGTTTGAAAATTTGATGCTTCAATTGTTGATGGATCAGAGGGAAGGAGAGTCTGTGACAAAAGCAGAAAAGCGTTGCATGTTTTTGTAGCCTGGACACTCAGGCCTGCCTCTCCTTCCCCATCTCTGCTTGTCCTGATGCCTTAATCTTTCAAACCTTAGCACAAAAGCCACCTCTTCCAGGAAGCCTGCCCTGACTCTCATTTTCCTGCCTGCACTGACCATCCCAACCCCAGCCAGTCAGGAATTTTGCCTCCACTGGGGCTGAATTGTAGCTCACAGTCTTACCTTCCACAGGGCTCTTGGTAGATGGCAAGCTCTACCCCAGACCAGAATCATATAACCAGTCAGAGGTTCTGGCAAATGTGAACCATTCATTCATTTGAGCCAACATTTTCCAGAAAACCTACTCTGTCTGGGTCTGGCTAGGCCTGGAGGGTGGGGGCGGCTGGAGGGATAAAGTGGGACAGAACATGGTGGAGGAGGAGGGTATAGAGACAACCTTCTAGTCTGTGGGGTGGGCACAACCCCTCTCGCAGTCACAACGATGTTAAAACGACAAAAGATCTCACTTGAAAGTTGTTTGGGTTCTCATTGGTGTAGAGCAGGAAGCGGGTTCCGATCTTCTCTGGGCTCCAGGGGAGAACTTTCAGGGGCCTGGCTGCAGTCCCGGCCCAGGGTTCCAAGTCGGAGAAGCACCCAATTTGTTCATAGCAAATTTCCTTTGCTGTAGGGAGAGGATGAACGTACTCACAGCTTAGCTCCCTAGGCAGGGGGGTGGGGGAGCAGGGTTACAGCTTCTCAGGTCCTCACTGCTCTGCCTGGAGACAGTCTGAAGACAATGGTGACACCCTGCCTCTTCCCACCCACTCTCTTCTTCCCCCCAGTGCCACCTTCCGATCTGGGACCAGTCCCACTGCCTGCTAGAGACACCAGCTGTGCCACCGCTTAGAGATACCATCAAAGCTTAGAAGTTCTATGTCCCGTCCCCAGCGCTTCAGATATATTTATTTGACTTAGGTGGTAATGCCCACTGATAAGTCAATCTGTTAACCCAGGCAGGTGTTTAATGCTTTACCTAGAAGAGTCTAGCCTAGAGAACTTGGACTTGAAGACAGGCGGGTGGGAAGATGTTCTGAAGTGGGTCCCTCTCAAACTGCCTTGTCTCCCAGGCAGAGTATTAGCCACCCCCACCCCTACCTGCACGCCCACCCCCAACCCCTGACCCCACCTCTCTCTGGACCCTCAGAGTTGTCTGGAGCCATTGCCATGAGTAAGGCTGTCGCTGTCCAGTGCTGAGATGTTGCATGTAAGCCCTTCCTGAGGGGAAGGTGTGACGTTTCCTACCTTTGACTGCTCCCAGCAGAAAAATTGCGATTGTCCAGATGCTCACCATCTACAATAAATTCGGACATTTTCAGCCTCACCAAACCTTACCAGAGCAACGAGCACAGACTTTTAGGAAGTCAAGGCTATCTGCTTCCAGAGCCAGTGGGAGGAAGCAAAGGTAACTTACCCTGTGGGCTGTTCCAGGAGTTCCCTCCTCTCCATCTAGTACCAGGCTGTTTTGTTTTTTTTTTTATACTGGAGCCTTATCATTTGGACACTGCTTCAAGGCAACGACAGGTGATAATAGAACATGCTGTGTGCAGTTAATATTTTAATCTGCACAAATACACAAAACAAGATTCATTATAGTAGTCAAACCTTCTTGCCAGTCTGGGAAGATGAAAAAATGCCTGATTAAAAGGGTGTGAAAACTCCCTAACTTTGTACCTGCGTATCTGTGCAAGTAATTATGAGCCTAGAGGGTCCCACTTTCCAATTTTCTGTTTTATCACCAATTAGTTTACAAGTCCCAGTAAGGACACAGCAGCAAACTCTAATAATGGAGGGCAGCATTTCTCAATTAGAATGGATGGAAATGCCCCCCACTCCCCCCCCATATAGCTGAAAGTAAAGGGGAGTTCTGATCAAGAAATCTCCTCTTTCTGTCTCTCTGTCTCTTGTCTCTCTCTACTGATCTCTGTCTCTGGCAGTCTAATTCCTGAGCGCATGAGCTTTGGAGACCAATTCAGCAGCCTCCACAGTAGCCTATGAACGCAATCCTCCACTAACGGCCTGTTCCAGTTATCAATTGCTAGGTAATGAATCAACACAAAATATAATGGTTTCAAACAACAGAAGTTATTATATTATCCTACTAAACTTTTGAATAGCTAAGTTCAGGCTAAAAGCCCATGTCATCAAACCATGTCACGTCTATGGAGTTTCTCCAGACTCTCTGAAGTTTGCACACCTGTCTTATGAAACTGGGCCACTGTGAGGCCATCATGAATGACCCACAGACCCATGCATCTGTGAACAGCTTGGCCAGTTCACACAACAGGCAGATAAGCCTTCAATGGCAAACACCACTGGTGCCCTACCCGACTCCCAAGTTAAATATGCCTCAATGTCAGAATTCATGCTTTTTCTGAATAACCCAAATTCTGGAAGACGGGTTGAAGGACCCTCCTGTTGAAATCCAAAAGACTTTCTCTGGAGTCACAAAGAATAGGAGCCAATAGTTCCCGAGACTTGCTACGTGTAGTCAGAGCATTTTAAGTCTTACAACAACCCCATGAAGTGGGTACCATTATTTGTCCCCCTTTATGGGTGTGGAAACTGAGGCATGGAGCAATAAATGAATTGCTTCATTCTGATAAAACCACACAGGAAATGAGTGACGAGATGAGATTTCAATTCAGACCATACGGAGCAAAATAAGGAGTTATTTGAGTATTCAGTGAATCTGAGTAAGTTGTCTGTCAATTTGTTGAGTGTCATCCACATAGAATAAGGGAGACACTTAGAGAGAATAAGTTGAAATAAAAAATAAGGTGTCCCCTAAAATGTCAGACTTGAGTTGTATGATTGACCTAAGTGATGAGATATTTAAGCTTTGCAAGTCTGCTCATTTGGGCCGGGAAGATGCAATTTAGACTGTGGTGATGTCAAAGGCATTTATGCTTTACTTTGACATTGCAGTGGAAAGATTCATGATAATCTAATGATGTAAATTAGTTGCTAGGAGATGTCAGGTGGCCTTGTTTGCCTCTTTTGCATCTGCTACACTGACCTCCATTGAACATGCCAAAGCCTTTCCTACCTCAGGGTCTTTACACTTACTATTCCATGCCCTGAAACTCTCCTCCCTAGACCTTCACTGGACTAGCTTCTTCTTATCATCCAACAATTAGTTCAAATGTTACCTCTTTCATGAGGCCACGTTGAACACCCCTGAGGCCCTCCACTGCCAGCCTTCTACCCAACCCCAGACCCCAGTTCCCTAACACCTTATGTGTTTTCCTTTAGATCACTTATCACAAGTTATAATCAAGTTATAATCATCTTCTTTGTCTGTCTGTTGGTTTATTTATTTATTTTTTCAATCATACTTTTCCCACCTTGGAATGCAATTCTGTGATGACAGAGACCTCATCTGTTTTGGCCACTGCTGTCCCTCTAGCCTCTAGAACCGTGCCTGGCACCACAGTGGTTATGAATTAATGAAAGAATGAATACACATATTCGTGGACTTGATTGGCATTTTACCTTAATCTGAGAGTGAATTTTAGGGCTGGAGAAAGGTGATAGGGCACCATTTAAAGGAGAGGGAAAGACAGACATGTTGGTCTTAAGCAGGGAGAATAGATGTATCTGCTTAGATTTAGGAAAAAACAGTCATCACATGATCTGCCATGATTTCCTCCAAGCCCATTCTCCTGAGCTCACCTCACTGCCAATTCACCTGTGGGCTTACCTGTGGGCTCACCCTCACTGCCAATTCACCATGCTCACCCCAATGGAATGGCCCCTGCTGCAGAATTTGATGGTTGAAACCACCTCAGGGTGATCAGGGTTGACTTAGAAGCCTTCTAGGTGGGACTGGAGGATTTCATCTGTAGCAGCCACGTCAGTCTGGTGGTGGGAGGGGGTGTGTGCCCCTCACACTGGGCACGGGCATTTAGAGGGTGGTTTTCCTTCTTAAAAAACTTTATTTCACTCATGTTTGTATATGGGTAATACATGCTTCTACACATCTGATATGGTCCAAAGTTAAAATGCTTCCTTTACCAGATCTTTGCGTCATCCCAGAGATATTCCATGTATTATGTATATACATATTATATTTTATTTAAAACTATAAATGGTTGGGGCACCTGCGTGGCTCAATAGGTTAAGCATCTGACTTTGGCTCAGGTCATGATCCTTCAATTTGTGGGTTTGAGCCCTGTGTTGTGCTCTGTGCTGACAACTTGGAGCCTGGAGCCTGCTTCAGATTCTGTACCTCCCTTTCTCTGCCCTTTCCCTGTTCTTGCTGTTTCTCTTTCTCAAAAATAAATGAACACTAAAATGTTTTAAAAATAAAAATATAAATAGTTAATATATACTACACACTATTTTGCAACCTGATTCTGAAAAATTTACTATAGTCTTGAAAATCATTCCTTGTCAGTGCATCTAGATGTGCTCCAGTCTTTTTTCCAGCTGCACAGTATTCTAATATTTGGATATCTACTTAATCAGTCCTCTTCTGATGAACATTTGGTTGTTCTTAGTCTTTTACTACTGAACACAATGTCTCGATGAGTATTCTTACACATGAGTCATCTGGGTGGATGGTATGGCTGGGGGTTGAATTCCTTTAAGTGGAATCTAAGGGTTAAAAGATTTTTACATTTAACATGTTGATAGAGATTGCTGCCCCAAGTTTCTGTGTTCTGATAACCCTGTTATCCGGAACCCCTGTGTATGTTGGCTACTCTCCCCACCCAAATCCTGAAACAATAGTAAAGTAGAGACCACAAACTATTTCAACAGGCGACTTCTAGAGGTATGCTAGTTATCATTCTTTTGCTTGCAAGCAACAGAAATCAGTTCTGGCTAGCTAAACATTTTTTTTAAAAGAGGGGTTTATTGGAAAAATATTGGGACATCTCATGGAATCCATGAAGTTGTTAAACCATGAGACCCAGGGAAGTCCCCCAAATGGGACCACCCTAGAGAGCTCAGCCATTGTTCTCAGATCCCCTCTGTCTTGGACCTGTGTGCATCTTAGCCAAGAATTTTTATTTGCCAGGGAATTGGCCTGGTTGGGTCAGAAGCTGTCTCTCAATCAATTAGCAATGGGATATGGATCCTGTTGGGTGTTCCTGGCCGAGGGGACTCATCTCTGTGCACCCAGACATGGAGGTGAAGTTGTGAGCTGGGCAACCACTGAAGGAGGCATGTGGTTCTGCAGTAATGAAATAACAGTCTTAAATCAGTGACTCTACTCAATGTGTACAAAGGTGCAGTTTGTGGCTCAGTGAAGGTAGTTGGGAGATTTCTTTAAAAGTACTTTTTGTGTTTGTCCAGCCTTAAAGTCATGATTTTTATGAATTATCAAGAATGAATGATGACTGTAGAGTCTTGATATTCTGAGCAGAAAATCTGTTGTTTTGTTTTAAAGATTAGAAAAAGCAACCCTGGTTCATGGGCATTGGTTGTTTAAGATGAAGCATACTGTACTGGAGCACTTTGCTTTCTGCAAAAGTCAAAGCGAGTGAACCAAAAAAGGTGCCCTCACTTCTGATAACAGCAGCAAGGACAAGGCAGCATGAGAAGTCCAGAGACAAGGTCAGCCTGACCCATTGTTAGGAAAACCCTTCTGACACCTCACCTGACCCCATACTTGTGTAGGGTGGGCAAACGAGTTGGAGATGGTGATAGATGGATGGTGAAAATGGCCACAATTCTTCACTCCCCCCCCCTCCTGCATTCATGTGTTTTGCAGGTGACCATCTGAGTTTTGCAGCTCTTTCCATCAACAACTGGATGTGTGACTTGACTTGTCATTAAATGTCATGGCAGCAACATCTTTGAGTAGCTCAAAGCCATCCAATCCCAAATATGAGAGAGATCCAGCCAAGATTAGCAGCGCTGATAACTCAACCCCTTTTGACCAAAGATACACGAGTAACTCCAGCCAAGAGCAGAAGTACCCAGCTAACCTGGAGACTTGTGTTTAAATCTGTTTAATATATGCCTCTTGTTTAACAAGCCATTGAGTTTGGTGATGGTTTGTTATGCAGCAGTAGCTAACCAGTACAGGAACCCAGTCCAGCCAGGCCAAGGATTCAGAGAGAGCCGTTCTCATTGCCTCACCATCACTATTCTTGGGCACACAGCCCAAGAGGGTGTATTCTTTCCTAATACAGTGAAGAAACTCTCACATCATCAACAGACACCATGTCCTAATTCACTGAACACTATGAAATGCCCTGGTGGATTAAATTGGACTAATCCCCTGGCAAGATGGAGGTCTAAGCCTTTAAAGTCTCTTTGACTAATTAGTCCATTCTGCAGCCG